TATAATATATATATATAATTCATTGAACTTGAACATGTTCATGAACTTGAACTAAACTTGAACTGAACCAAAACTTTGAATTCAGGTTCAGTTCAAGTTCATAAATTTAAAATTCAGTTCAGATTCAGGTTCAAAGATTTGCCAAATTTAAAGTTCAGTTCAGATTCAATTGAACTTGAACCTGAATCTAAATTGAACTGAACTAAACTTCAGAACACTATATAAAGCTAAACAAATCAAAAGAACTTCGTATGATTAGCATAGTAAAAGAACTATAATGCAAGTAATAAAAATAACTATACAAGTAATAGAAAAAACTTTAAAAAGAGTTATTTTCTAATGTTTTGATTTTATTTGTTTCTAATTTTCAAGTGCAAACTACACATGTGTTCCCACATTGCTATACATTAATAAAAGATTAGTATAGCATTTTAGTCAGTCAAAACTACGTTCTAATAGTTGTCAAAATTATATTGAATTCTTTTTAGCATATTACATCACATTGTATTATTATTTCAGAAAGTTTCATATAAAAATTTTGTCAATGCTGAAATGATAATCTGAAAGCATGTTTCTATAATTTATGAATACCCAATTCAATATGTTGCAATTTAATTGCAAAAAAAAATTATCATAGTATTCTTAATAGCAATCTTAATTTTTTTAAATTGATCATTTTTCTAATGTAAATCGAAAGTAAAAAAGAACTGCATACGTACGTACATATATACATTTATATTTATTGATCTTTATATAGTATGATATCATCAGTCACAATCAAGTGATTTCTTTAAGATTGATTACATAATTTATATACATACGTATGTACGTAGTAAATGATTTTTATTATATTTAGTAAATTAAAAGTGGACCCAAACTTGGCTGCAGTGAAACAATACAATAAAAAAAATGAAAATTCAAAAAAAATACAAAAAAGTTGGTCTAAACCTACCTTATGTATGTTGAGCAAAAAAAAGTTGGAAAGACCATTTTGCATATACTTAACTACCTAAAACCTACCCTTACTAAAATCTAAAATGACCCTAACCAGAAATTTAATTCAATAAATATTAATTATATAATTTCTTTCCTTCATCACAGTAAGCAATAAACCATAGTGACTCACTAAATAATGATTAGAACATTGCTTATTAGCTAACTGTTAGTTCATATAAGTTTACTATTCTATAAAGTCTATTACAAAGCATTATTTTGTTTATCATTATTGTTTTCATGTTTTTTTTTATTGCATTTCAGTTATATAAACACAGTAACATTTTTTATTTTTTTGAATATTTCGATATATGCTTAATATGAAAAAATAGTCATTATCTGAATATATGAACAAACTTTTTTGGTGGGAGTATCAATTTAATACGAGTAATAAAATCTAAAATTTGCTATTTTAATTTATAGATTTTTTTTAAATTATTGTATTTAAATCGAATCTGTCGTTTAATGATGGGTCTTATATCTAGTATTATTTATAATCAATATATTCATATTTATTATATTATTTATGTATACTATATATACTACATATACTATATTGACTATATTAAACATGTTAACCATAATGAATATTCTTTTTATCTAAAATAATAATCTCTTTACACTTACTATTTTTGAAAGATTACTAAACAAGCATAACTAGATTTTTCTAACAATTTATAGCAATAAAAAACTAAAAATAAAAAGAAAATAATACATATAGTATTTTGTTCTAATTTATTAAAATTAGTATTTTTTTTAATATCTTTTAAAGTTTTTTATTTTTTCAAAAAAACTTAAAATACTAAAAAAATTTATTTTTGTATACCAATTATTGTTTTCCATCCAACTTTTTAAGCAAAGTGATACACAAGTAGTGTTAAATTTAAGACGATTATGAAGTTTTAAAATTGTTCGTGAAGCTATTAAAAATGCTTTCTACAAGGAATACTTGTTGCTTGGATTGCAAGATAATCTTGTGCTGTCTTTGCTTTGACAATTACTGCAGCCCGAAATTCTATACAATTTTTTACTGCAATATTTAAAATATGAGCAGCACAATGATGATGATGAAATCCAAAAGTATTCTATTCTTCTTCAATAATTTTTCACATAAAACCATTGTGAATACATTGTCTGTTGTTAATGAAATTATCTTATCAGCAATATTCATTTCTTTATAGATTTTATTGAGCTTTTTTTTATATTTAATGCATTATAACTGTATTTAAAATAGAGAATATCAAGTAAAAAATGACATATCTTTATTCATTATTTATATAATGTATAGTAATTTCCAAGATATACTTGGTTTGAACTTGATGCCCAAATATCAACAGTAAGTGCAACTTTGGTTGTAAGTTCTTTAAGTTCTTTTGCAACATATACATGATGAGTTTCAAACTGAGATATTGTTATATTTTTTATATATTTAACTGATAATAATTTATATCTTGGATTATATACATTTACTGCTTTACAAAACCAATGATTTTTAATAAACAAAATGGAAGTTGTATACCAATTATAAGATCAACAATAGCATTAAGGCATTTTTGTTTATGTTTAATATCATTTTTACCATATAGTTCTTGAGAGATGTAAGCGATTTGTTTTTAAACTAAGTATAATGTTATATTTATTTCTAAGATATGTATTTAGAACACCAGTAAATATTGTAGTGCCATATTCTGCTTCACATCCATTAACTCTACAAATTCTTGCAATAACTTTATTTCTCTCCATTCATTCATCTATATAGTTTCATATAGGTGATGTTCAGTTTTTTTACTATAAATTGCTATTGGGCTATATGAAGATAATATTTTAATAATAATGTTTGCTTCTATGTTCACAAATTCTGCAGCTTCTATATTACTAATATTTTCTATATCATCTGCATTTTCTGTATCACTTGTATCTTCTATATCATCATCATCTGCATTACTTGTATTTTTTATATCATCTGTGTCTTCCATATTTACAAATTCTATATCTTCTATTGCTATTAAAAGATCAAATTTTTCTTTTAAAAATTAAACTAAAGTATAATTTAATTTTTTTGTTTTTTTTAATTTAGATGTTTATTTATTTTTTTTTTTTAATTTTGTTTAATAAGAACCTTATATATTAAATATTTGTTATTAAAGATATCGTCAATTAGAGATTGGGTAATCTGATTTGTACTAAACCTTTGTTAGATAATTAATTATTAAATACAGTAAACTTTTTAATAATTATCATAGCAAAACTTGAAATTAGAGACCTTGATTTAAAAAAATATAAACCTTACAAAAATCTACTTATATATTTTATTAAAACTAATACTAAATCATAAGCTAACTATAAAAAAAAGCTAAAAAATATATCCCAAAATTTTAAGCTTTAGCTATTAGCCATGATAATAATTAGAAAATAATATTTCTCCAAAAATAGTATAAATAATTTGATGAAAACAGATATATTATAATTTAAATAACCAAGTTCAGAAAAATTATTATTATCTTAAACTAATGCTTACTAATAAAATATTTAGAAGAAGAAAAAGTGAAAATTTTTGATCGCTCGCAATTTAATGGACTTAAACAAATTGGAGCAGGAGGATCTGCGATTGTGTACGCAACAACTTTAGGCAGAAAAATTTATGCACTGAAATCCCTAAAAAATCACCTACATTTAGATCGTGACGCGCTTAAAAAAACAATAAGAGAGGTAATATATATCTATTGAAATTAATTTACTTTTTCAGTGTGCATGGAAATACAGATTATTTTTAGACTTTTGATTTGGATTTATAATAATTTGTAATTTATACTGTATATAGTTAAAAAGCCTCTATAAAATCAAACATCCTAATATCATTAGACTTTTCGGAGTTTCAATAGGTATGATAAAAGATTTTATGTTGAAATACATATGCGTGTTTGGCTCTAAAATTTTGATCACCCATTTGAAATTTAATGAACTATAGATTCACATTCGAGAGAATTCTTTTTAGTCTTAGAATATGCCGAAAATGGAACCTTACGTCATTATTTACAGAATAAATGCAGGGAAGGCCATTATCAAATTTTATGGAACGAGCTCATCCAAATTGCTATTGATATTACAAACGGAGTGATGCATTTACATGATAATGACATTATTCATAGAGATTTAGTGGGTATAATTTTCATATTCGTATAAATTATGATTAAATATGGTTTAATAACTTTAAATATTTCTTTAGCACTCTAAGAATATTCTTATGAATGACGGTAAGGCTTTAATTGCAGATTTCGGAGTATCCAAAAAAACATGTGATCCTTCATCTTCGACCATACCAATAGCTGCCCCAGCTTACACTGATCCATGGTGCCTTATTTTTGGAAAGGAACGTGACCAAAAATCTGACATTTACAGTTTGGGTGCATTATTATGGGAACTTACAAGCGGAATCCCGCCATTTCAAGACTTAACATTGGTTCCAATAATTATGCAAATTTTCACCGAACAAAAAACTGTTCTGGCTGAAGTTAATGGTACACCTTCAGGTTATGTTAATCTTTATAATGCGTGTATATCATATGAACCGAAAGAACGCTTATCCTTAAAAGACATTTTGGATAGACTTAAAGAACTATCAAAAGAAAATATAGAAATCATCTCAAGTTATCGTTAATTGTTTAAAATTATCTATTTATAATAATTTTGGAAGTTTATGTTGAAAAACAATTCTTTACTGATATATAGTGTGAGCACCGTAACGCAATCGACGGCACATAACCACATGATCGTTATACGAGTGGGTGTGGCGATCTTCTTCCTAATATAGAGTTTCCGGACTTATTTAATTAGAGAAATTTGAGAGTAACCGAGTATATTAGGGAAATGATAAAATCATGTATATGTACATAATAATATATATATTCGGGCTTTCGCCCATAATAGAGTTTCGTATCTCGCAAATAAACTATCCTATAAAAGTATAAGTGTACGTTGTATTCTATACAAAGTGCCCCAAAACTGCCTTACAAAGTTATATCAAAATAAACTGTTACATATTCTGTCTCGTTGTTGAGCTATGAAGGTAAATTTTCGTTCGTCCTTGTATTATGCACATGACTTCAAAGTTGTCTTCCGACGTACAGTGTAAAGCCGTGGTTATTGAATTAAGAAATAGATTACCTCATACGGTTGTTCCGGTCATTCAACGTACCGAATTGGTCGTGGTATAGAAAATTTAGTTAGTTAGTGACAGTGATAGAAAAGAAAGTGCAGTCCCCAACCCGACTCGCCAAATCTAACCACCTTTTTTCTCTAAGCCAAATGTTGATTCAAGATCGTATAGAGTTTAAATTCACCGTATTAGTTAGGACCACCAATGTCAATAGACACTTTAGAGAGGAATTAAACATCAATAAACTGTAATTACTAGATATACATTCTAAATACGTATTATATGGAATTAAAACTAATCAAGCTTAATATAATACATTATTTTTTAAACGTAAAAATTTGAAAACAAAACACTGCATTTATACAAAAAAGATACTTAACTAAGAACGTACATGTAGCATTGGGGTGGCCGATCATCCAATAGAATCAAACATATGTCTAGTCTCATTGATTTTTATATAATGATAGATTTTTTGATCAAAAAATTATAGCGCAATTTTTATATTAAAAGATTAATAAAATTCTTTTGGATATTTAACATTCAATAATAATTTTTTTTGTTCGATTTTAACATTTTTCACTCTTTACTGTCTTCTTAACAACCCTATGTTCTCAGATTTAACATACTATAGTAAAATTTTCAATTAAACAA